CAATGTCTTCTTTCTTCATTATTAAAAAAAGAATCATTTATTTTTACAGAAGACTTATTTGCATTGAACATTCATAAAACTCACCAATTCAATTACCTCAATAACTGTTTACCAGTATTATTGTTGTGAGGGATTGGGGTTAGCCTCACTTAGTATAGGCCTATAACTTAGGTCTAGTTTTATTTTAGCAGTTAAAAGTAAGAAATTGTCGTCAACCACTTTCAAAATTTCCTTATTGTGCAATAAAATTTATCAATACAACTATTTTATTGTCTAAGTTACACCATTTAGTCTTAAACCTTACCTGTAAACCACGTGGTTGTGATTTCATTTCGTAAAACGATTTTGTATTTTTAGCTACAAGAACATTTTTTACAAAGTTTCTTGCAAATCAAGGGCGGTGTGATTTTTGTTGGTATAATTATGTTGTAGTGTTTTTTTAATGACCTCGTTTTATCTTCTCCTTCTCCAAGCAACATAAACTTAGGCCTAATTAGTTAACTATTCATTGTTGTTAAAAAGAACAGAACCATTTTACAATTAAATATAAACGGCATGGAGTTTAATCACTCAATATAGAACTGATTGTTAATCATTTCGTATTACATACAATATACTATAATATGCTCTTTAGTATTATCCAATTTTTTCTTTTGTACTGTATTTATCATGTGGTAGATTTGTTGACTAATGTTGAGGCTCTTGTTTACTTTTTAGTGTTTACTCGCAAATAATGACATGGCGACCAATTAACCCATAAGGCCCATGTTAAATTTCCAAAAGTTTGCATTCATGTAGGGAAAAGTCCTATGGTCCGATTTGTACCGTTTCAGATTTATACCTTCCCATGGTTGGTTACTATGACTGTGTTAAATTTCATGCAGATCGCTTCAGCCGTTCAGGAGGAGTATTTGTAATAAAAAAGCAGGAGTGTAGTATAAGAGCTTCGCTCGCTTCGCTCGCTCCGCTCAATAAATAAAAATGCCTTTATTTATTAAGCGTTTCTCAGTACAAATACTGCTTCTCAGAACAACTTTCGTCAAAAACAATATAAAACTAACAACAAATAAATAGAGCAATAACAAAACAGAAACAAGACAATATGAGTAACAATAATTAACCATCAGTGCACAATTCTTTGATCTTAACTCTAAATGATGATAAAGAATACTTTTTGAGGCCAGAGGGGAGGTCGTTGTACAGTTTTGGACCGAAGTACGAGAAGCTTCGTCTCCCAAACTCAAGCCTCACTCTTGGAAAGTGAAGCTGGAGACCACCATGGCGGGTACTGCGCTGAGAGACCTCCTCCCGGAAAGAGAGCCTCTCAAGAAGGTACTGTGGCTCCTGTAAGACAAGAGCCTTGTGCACCATGCAGCACGTCATGATCCTGCAAACAGTGTCTACTGTTGTCATCCCCGCTACAGCTCTATAGGGAGAGACATGTTCAAATTTTTTGAGGCAAAATATGAAGCGAATAGCTGAATTTTGCAGATTCTGCATTCGGGTCATGTCTACTCCAGAGATGCTGTTTCCATAAGCAGGGAGACAATATGTAAACACCGACAGGACTAGTGACTGCATGAGGCGCAGCTTCGCAGATTCTGGCAGCAGACTTCTAAACCTGTACAGCCCTCTCAGCCTTCCTAACGCGCGCTGCGAAGCATGTGTGACATGGTCAGAGAAGGTGAGGCTGCTATCAAGCACAACGCCAAGAGTCTTTGACTTGTCACACAAAGTCAAAGATTCCCCGTTGAGCACAACACTCACTCCTCTCTCGCTGAGGGACTGCACCAAGTCTTGTGGCGCCGTATGCATCACAGTACACTTGCCAGTATTGAGTTTCAACCCATTTGCTTCTGACCACAAAAGGATTTTTCTCAGATCAGAGTTAATGAGATCGAGTGAAGCTCTAATCTGGGATGGCTCATAAGACAAGTGCAGCTGTGAGTCATCGGCATACAAATGAACTGTACAATGTTGCACACAGCTAGGAAGGTCTGCCGTGTACAAATTGAACAGAACAGGCCCAAGACAGCTGCCTTGGGGAATTCCTTGGGTTTTGACAAGCGGGGTTGATGTTTCACTCTCTAACTGCGTCACTTGCAGCCTGGAGTCTAAGTATGACCTTATCCATTTCAAAATATTTTCGTCAAAGCCATAATATTTCATTTTGGCCAATAGCATCTCATGGTTCATTGAATCAAATGCCTTTGAATAGTCCAGCATAACTAGAGAACTATATTTACCCTTGTCTTTGGCGTCAATCATATCACTAAATAAGTTCGTCAGGGCTGTACACGTGCTATGGTTAGGTCTAAATCCAGACTGAAGTTTGGGTAATATATTTTGTGTGTTTATGTAGCTGACTATTTGGCGAATAGCTATCTTCTCTAATATCTTTGACATAGCTGGTAATATTGAGATTGGCCTTAGGTCTTCGACTTTTCTTGGGGCTGTAAGTTTGGGTAATGGTCGGATAATACTAATTTTCCAGGACTTAGGAAATTGTCCCTTGTCTAGTGATAGATTTATCAGATGGGTAATTGATTTTATCGCATACGGACTGACAGTTTTAATCATTTCAATTGAAATTTCATCGCTACCCACTGCTTTAGATTTGATCTCATTCATTACATCCATAACCTCTTTTTCACTGACATATTGAAAATTGAAGGTATTTATAATGCCATCTCGTTTATTATCCATAAAATATTCCCAAAGCTGTTTATCAATATCGGTCTCAGCTCCCATGTTTACAAAATATTCGTTAATCTCATTAGCTTGCAGATCATGTGGAATGCTTGAGTTACTCTTAAATTAGATTTAACGAGTGCTTAGGTTTGCTACTACGGGGAAGTTAAACAGTGTTTTTGACCAAACAACAATAGTATAGGATGAAATAAATAAATTTTCCAAATTTGATCAAGATACACAGGGTTTCCCGTAACTCTCTGGACACATGTATACAGCGTTAGGTCCCGTTTATGCACCAAGAGCGGGAACGGGGCGATAGCGGGCCCGCTCCCGCTGTGAAAATTTTGTCAAAATTGTGCAAGCGATAGCGGTAGCGGTTGGTCAACGGAGAATGGAAGGGGGACACAGTCTTGGCAACTCAAACTCTGCCAAATAATTAACACAACTATTTGTCCTATACTCCGCGCCAAAGCTGGTGGCGGCTGAGGGATTAGGACGGCCAGGTCGGTGAGCAGGTCCGACCTATGTAGTCCATGTGGTCTTATGTGATCGTTGATGTAGTCCTACCTGGCTGTCCTAATCCCTCAGCCGCCACCAGCTTTGGCGCGGAGTATAAGTGCACGTGCGCGTGGGTCAAGTTGGCAACCCTGGCTGCAGCCGCTCCCGCTCCCGCCGTGCATAAACGGTCTCATTTGACTCAATGTAGTTGAAAACCGCTCTATCCCAAGCAACCGCTGCGATTTCTAACTACACAGCGGTCGAATTAGAAACGCAGCGGGAGGTCAACCGCTACCGCTATCGCTCTTCGTGCATATACAGCCCCATTTAACTCAATGGTGTTGAAAATCGCTCCCGCTCTTGGTGCATAAACGGGGCCAGGTCAAGACAAACACATTTCACCATAGGGACATGGGTCTGCGGTGCCTAGTTTACTGACTGTCGGTATTTATGTGTTGACTCAATAGTAATTTGACTAGGCAACTTGTAGGTAAGGAAATTCAAAATACTCTAAATATCACCTAAAATGCATTGTGAATACAAAATTTAGTATATTATTAACATCTTACTTTTACATCATATAGCTTTTAGGATGTCTTACAAGGTCTTACCATGAGACCTACAGTAATAGCTTATTACCTGTATGGGAAATTCACTGTTATACAGGGTGTTCATAAAAACTTTTTCACCACACTATCATGTTTTTGGCTGTATTACATACGTTAATTGGTGGCCGAAAGTTACGTTTTGCTGGCGATGCCAGCTGTCCATAATTTGGGGACCGAGCAGGTTTTTACAGGCCGGGGCCGCAAAATCAGCTGTCCGCTTACTTACTTAAAACATGAATGCATTTTAAATACATAATCAAAATCCATAGCATTTCAATAGAATTGTGTTATTGTCACCGTTGCCTAGCAACTATATATTTTTATTTTTGCTGATTCCTCAAATTATTTCTTCACATAACCTTAAAGTTGTAGTTGTGTTGACTATCAGTGTGCATTATTATTGTGGTGAATAGTGGTAATAGGGTATAGTGTGGTGAAAAATAGCGTTCGTACCACGGACCGAAATGGTTTTGCGGCTCTCGATCGATTTAAGTTCTCGACTTCGTCTCGAACTTAAAAACTATCTCGAGCCGGCAAAACCTCATTTTCGGCCCTAGGTACGAAATATACTATACTCTCCCCCTATCATCTTCCCATGTAACATAAAGGTTTTCTAAAACACCACATGAAAGAGTGGCTAAACAAGTTTAAACAGTTACAGTTTTATCAGCTGATTAGTTTATATTTTGCTTGGTAAACAATAACAAATAATTAATGAGTTTTGTTAAAATTGCAATGGAAGCTTGTAATAAAGTGCAGTGTGTGGAGTGGTTCATTGAAACCAAGTCTTATGTTCAACATTTTAGAGATTTTGGACAAGATACAATATGAATCCTCCTTCAATACAATTAGGGCTTAATACAAATTTATGAACACTGGCAGATTGCATCACAAGAAATGGAACGGTTGAGCCCGTGTCCGCGATGCAGATGTGCAGCTAACAATAATTATGAACAGTCAAAAAATACATTGAAGTAGGTTAATATTCTTATCACGGTATGTACTTAAACTTGGAATTATTTCCTAGGCTTTGATTGTTATTTAATAGCTTTAATTGGAGAAATAAGTGTTTTATGGTTATTTAAAGTGTTAAAGTATACTTATAAACACCCTGTAGAATCAGCATATGTATTGCCAGTGTATTATAATTAAATGCCATGTAATTAGGTTTAGTTACAACAATACATGACTATTACATACACGGATGGTTGTAGCTTCCGTCAACCCATTGATCATGTCTTTGCAATTCTCCCAGCCTTTGGCGCTCTTAAATCTTCTGTCTCTACCATCATCCTCCACCTCAGACAGTGAGTTAAGGTTTCCTCTGACGTACGACTCCATTGAACTCCTAATCTCTGCAGCACCAAAACTTTGTTTTTTTCCTAAAGCGTTCTTGAAGTCTTTAACTACACGGCCACTAAGTGCTTCTTTTAGATACTTAATTTTCTCCTCCTAGAATAAATTGTAATAGTTGAACATTTTTAGTAAAATAAATTAGGCATTTTGCAGTGACACTTATAAATTAGTAGGTAATAAATTAGAGGGTAGGTAGTTTGAGGAATTTGTATCAAAAAGGTTAGCAACATATCTATGTACTGTATAAGTCAAAGTAAAGTATACATAGATGATACAAATTAAAGAAAGCATGTACAGGATATTCGCATGAGATGAGGACAAACCCAAACGTACCCTAATAATATTTGGTACTTTCCTGTTAAAGGAAAAATTTATTATTATCGATGATTTCTTTTCGATATATCGATATTTTATTTTTTTTATTCGATATATTGGTATTAACAAATTGCAACTTATCAGCTGACAACTACGATAAATAAATATTGTTCAGTATCAACAAACAATTTAGTGAGTCGGTGGCTCAGGCGGTAGCGTCGTTCGGGCCCAAGGCAGCGATGTCGTGGGTTCGGATCCTGGTCACTGCCGATAACATTTTATCAGTACAGTTCACCTTTGTACTGTACCGGCTCACTTGCTTTGCTGTAAACGATCCACGCACGGGCGCTTAGTCTATGTGGACGTGCAAATGCAAGGTTAAAAGAGGCCGCCAACCTCTTCAAAAAAAAAAAAATAATAATAAAAAAATTATATTGAAATGAAACTTTTCCCAACCATTAAAACCTAACAATGGTTACAACCTAACAACCTAACAAACCAAACTTGCTGTAACATTTCAAAATTCCATTTTGAAAGCCTATTTCCCATATGCCTTTTCTGTTATCAAACAGAATTTTGGAACGGTAACTTAGCCTACAGCAAGTTTGGTTAGCGATGTTAGGTTATTTTAGAAAACAATTAGGTAGCGATGTAAGGTTAGTTAGTTTCATTTCTTAATCAAATATACAAGATGCCCCGTAAGTAAACAGCCAAATTCCGGGAAATGGTTCTATGGGTCAAAATAAAGAGAAAATCAAGAATAACATTTATTTCAAAAATCCAGATATCCACCTTTTGGATAATAGGCTTATCCACTTTGGAGTACTTAGTTTTAAAAAAATAAATGGCCGCTATATTGAAATTTTAAGTTGAATCAAGATGATTTATTTTTCATCCAACAGGGGGCTCTTCTACCTCAACCTACATACCAAATTTTATAAAGATCGGTTGAAAAATCCCAAAATAAGAATGTTTATGTAAAAAATACAAAATGGCGATTATCTGGTTAATGATGCAATTTTTGAAAAAAATGTATTCTCGATTTTCTTTTTATTTTGACTCATAGAACCATTTCTCGGAGGTAACCATGTTAACATACACAAGACCTATAATAGAAAAAATAGTAAAGTTGTTCCGATTGTAAATTTCAAAATGGCGGCCGTTTGAATTTTTCTAACTTAAATAACTCCAAAACGGCTAATTCTATGAAAAAATGTCAAGAATACTTTTTTTTAGCATATTCAATACCCCATCAAACGATACCAATATTAAAAAGATCGGACCAAAGATAACTGCCCTAACATTACTAACTGCCCAACATTGCCTAACATTGTTAACTGCCTAAGATGGCACCTAACATTGCCTTATTTTTACACAAAAAACCTTATATTTCAGTCATCTTTTGTCCGATCTTTTTGATATTGGTATCTTTTGATAGGTTATTGTAAATGCTAAAAAAAGTATTCTTGACAGTTTTTCATAGAATAAGCCGTTTTTGAGTTATTTAAGTTAGAAAAATTCAAACGGCCGCCATTTTGAAATTTACAATCGGAACAACTGTATTGTTTTTTCTATTATAGGTCTTGTGTATTTTAACATGGCTACCAAATTTCATAATCATCGAACGAAAAACTTCACAGATAAAAATATTTTTGTATAAAAAACAAAATGGCGGATAGCTGGGTAAATATGCATTTTCGGACATACCTTCACACAAACTTTTTTCTTCCTTTTAGTATGAGGATTCATTTCCCAAAGTCCTCAAACGTTTTTTTAAGGACACCCTGTATATTGTCTTTTTGTCTGTCTGTCTATAATTTAAATGCGTTTAAAGATATTAAAACTGATGGAATATGGACCGTAAAGGAAACAAAAATATCGATATATCGAAAAGAAATCATCGATAATAATGAATGTTCCCCTTAACAGGAAAGTACCTAATAATCTCCACATATGAATAAATTTTAATGCTGGATAAATAAGTTGTGAAACTTTGTTACTCGCTAAGATCAGGTTGCTTAGACAAGCCCATTTTAAATCCTACTATGTGAAACAGCAAGGTAACTAGGTATATAGTTTTGATCGAATAAATACCCCTGACGCAGCAAACCTGCAAACTAAGCGATCATTTCCACTTGCCTGATTTGATTTTCACCTTAATCTATTTAAATAACATTAGTTTTAATGAGTACCAAGGTTTTCTGCTACAGGGGGGGTAATAAAAAAATTGTAAAAAAATAATAGCTTAGTATAAAAAAAATAAATTTGATAAGTTTGATCAAAATAAGTTATATCCATAAACAAGCAAATTGCAACGGTTTACTTATTCGCCACAAGAATAACATGGGAATTTAAAGTTAACATTTTTTAAATTTTCTCCGTAACCAATTGGAGTACCAATTGAAGTACAAAAAACACTTCAATATAAAAAATTGTTTTATGCTCTTCAACATGGTCTAGAGAGAAATTGGGAAATTTTATGTTTTAAGGGTAACTTACTCAATGACATAGAGGTGTGTAGAGTTAGGTTTTCCTTGTGTAGCCAATTAAAAGGTTATTAGGAGTTGTCCTCAATTTTGCCCAACCATGTATATACCTCAACTGATATGGATAAAAATATGTTTGAACAGTGAACACGCACAGACATTACTTCAAAAAGCACTTTTTTTGGTTCAGGTCGACCCAAAACAGATTTTAAAAATTCAAACTAAAAAATTACACCTTTCGAAAATAATTACCTTATCTATTTATTTTGTATGGAAAAAAATAAAAATAAATCATAGACCATCAACAGCATAATTAGTTGCATTCCCAAACCATTCTTAGTTAGAAAAAAATACTAGAATTAATTGTTATATATCGGAAATAAAATCCCGGGATAGTTTGATATTTCAAAAAATTAATTAGGATAGAGCTACAAAACTTGGTAAAAAGTTACTGAACATTAAAATAATTTTAAAACATTATTTAGCGATACGAGAAACGGAGCTATTGCCGTCATATGCTTTGCCGTGGGGGTCATTGAATGAAAGGCCCGATTGCCGTTTGACTTTCCAGAGCCTATACAGAATTATCCAGGGGGGACCCCCTAATACCCCTCTTAGGGGGTGGATTGGGCAGGGCAGGACGTAACGACGACCGGGTACAGTTTCTTAACTGGGCTACCCTAATATCGACTGGAAATATCGATTCAATTAGTAAACCTTCATTCATTTTTTCATAATCAGTAAGTTTGCTTTATAGGTTAGGTTATAATGTTTCATGTTATCCCTTAAGAGTCTTCACAAGTTTTGCTCATTTTGAAACCCCCCTAGCCAATCTGTCCATCCCCATACCCGCCGCACCGTAGAACCGATCACTGATACATGAACGGCACTCGCACTGCCATGCCCCACAGCTGTAAAATTATCCTCGTCGAAGTTTTTTGGCAACTGGCATGGTACTCGGCCCTGCACTCCAGTAATACGCTACTGTACTTCCCACTGGGAGGGGCGTGCTAGGAGCCAGAAGAATTTCTGAAAAGCATCATATGCACATCGAAGTTTAAGGTGTTTATTAGTAGCATACAGTGCCGCAAATTTGAGTTCAAAAGAACATTTAAGTAAAAATGGCAGTCTTTCAAAGATACAAAATGATAGGTGTAAAAAATGTTTTCAACGGCTAATACTTTTAACTGAGTCTTTCTTTAAGTTCAAATTCGCGGAATTGTACTTTACTATTAAAGTGGTGTAATTTGATTATATATCAATCTATACTAACTTACATTTAAGATTTTCTTCTGATTCCCAGCAGGCCGTCCCCCCTAAGAAGGTAGCGTATCACTGAATAAAGTGTTAAAATTATTGTAAAGCCTAGCGTAACTATGTACCAAGTTTTGTAGCTCTATCTTGATTTTTTTCATATTCAACCGTCCCGGGGCTTTATTTGTACCCTGTATAGTCCGTAATCTGTTTTCATTGTCTGCATTTCGGTCCTCCATTATACTCTTCTCTCCATCCCTTGTGTTATTCCATAAGATTAGTGGTTAAACACATAATTACTCATTTCACCTTACATTTTTTGGTTGTTAGTATTTACCGTGTCTGCTATGAATTTTTCATTGTCTTTCTTCTCTTGTTCTGCTGCATTTTGCGCACCTTTTTCTCCCTCCACCATAGGAATATTTTGCACAGCAAATACGAAGAGGACGAGCAATAAGGGGCTGTACATCATTTTCATTTTCGTGGACAACCTGAACAACACCGATCTTCAATAGCTTTTAGTTTATACATTTATGGACGAGCTGGAGCTTAATGATTGGTCATAAGTACGTTACAAACTTTAAAACAGAAAACAACATGTAATATACATATTCTCGTATACTTAAATAACAATTATTTATTATTTTTTATCCCATAGTCATCACTCAACTAAAATGAAATCTTTATTTTCATACTGCACTTACATAAAGTATATACAGTATTTACAAGTACTTGAATACCCGTTTGAAATATTTGGTGTTTTAATTCCACACATTTTTTTATAAAAATACCACTAAACCTTCCAATAATTTTACCGTTGTTCAACGTTAAACCATTGACTATTGGATTGGATACTGAATAATAGGTGTATTAATAGTCAAAGGTTATACTGAAACATCCTGATCAATAATATACCCCGCAGCAGCAAACCCTGCAGACTAAGGGAATTTCCATTTGGCTAATTTGATTTTCACTTAAATAAATTTATAACATCAATACTGTAAACTTAAACGAGAACCTAGGTTTGCTGCTACAGGGAGGGTACTAGCTTAGTATAAATTAAATTTGTCAGGTTTGATCGCAATATATCCATAAACAAGCAAACTATACAAGTTTACTTATTCCCATTAATACATGGGCATTTAAAACTTACATTTTTTTCTCTGTAATCAATAACAAAAAAATCACTTTAATATTATTTCTTTTACTAAATTATCTTAATTAGCTCTTCAACATTTTTTTAGAGACAAATGGGAAATGTTATGTTTTAAGGGTAAAAAAGACAAAAAAAAACATCTTTTTCATCACTATATGATGTTTTTAGCCGTTTTACAAACGCCTCGAACTTAAAAATTATCACGAGCCGGCAAAACCTAATTTTCGTCCCTAGGTACGAAATATACTATTTTACCCCATAAAACCCTGTGGGCCGATCATGCTGGTTCGCAAAGTCGTTCGAATAAACGTAGGTTTACACTTTTGTAGCATATTTCATCAAAATCAGATGATTTTGGCTCAAGTTATCGTACTAATGGACAATCACACAAATATACCGGGTGTCCCATAATACTCCCCCTGGATTATTTTTGAACGGCTGCATATATTCAAAAGATCTTCAATACACGCTATTAGGGTAATGTGAAAGTGCCTTTTGGTGGTATTTTGAAATTCATCCCCCCCCCTCCCCCAAATAGGAGTTGCTGAGGGTGATTTAAAATTTTTATTTGAAAATTTACATAAAGAAAAAAATAAAAGTGATAGAATGTAAATTTCCAGTTTAATTAACGTCAAACATTGCTTGCCATAACATTTTTCAAATTCGCCGTATCAAATTCAAATTTGCTGCAATAATTTCCTTTTAAAAAGCTCCTTAAAATGGTGCACTACTTGATAGGGGTTGTCATATAAAAATGTTAAGCTACCCCCAGCAACAGCAACCCCATTTGGGGGTGGGGTTGGAGATCAAAATACCACCAAAAAGGACTTTACATTCCCCTATTATCGTGTATCGAAGCTAGTTTGAATATATTAAGCCGTTCAAAAATTAACCAGGGGGGGAATTGTTGTACACCCGGGGAATTGTTAAACTGTTTGTGTTTTGGCCTCTGGAGACATCAAAACGTGAAAGTAAGTAAGTCTTCCATGAGATCTACGGTAATAGCTTATTCCCTATACGGGAAATTCGCTTACAGTTCTTGATTCTCAAAATAAACTCTTAAAATAACATTTTTAACTCTAAGATTGTTTTAGATACTGACAACTTAATGCAATTAGACTGAATATTAAACTTTATGCTACACGTTATTTAGCACAATGTACAACATTGTAGCCACAATATTGTGTTAGATCTAACAACAAAAATTGTAGAATAAAACGTCAAACCAGTAAGTTCGCTGAACTAACCTCTATGTCATCACTATCTTTGTGCTTTTATTTTATTTCAAAAGCCATATCGTTGGTAAAATATTAGAGTCATTCTCACAGAGTTAACAGATGTTCAGCCCTCAATGAAATTGGACTGCTAAGAAAATAATTTATAAATAAAAATACTTTTAAAAAATTCCACTTTTTTAAACGCTCTAAAATGTAGAAAAAATAATTTATAAATACGAGGAGATAATAAAAACTTGTAAGATTTAGGCCTAATACTAAAATGGTGCGGCGCGTACAATACCTAATTTACAATTATTATTATCCTATTGAACTATAATTATCTATTGCATGTGCCCCACGTTTTTCATTTTCAATCTTACAAGTGTTTATTCTCTCCTCGTATTTATAAATTATTTTCTTCTTTTAGCGAATTTCCCATATAGGCAATAAGCTATTACCGTAGTACTCATGGTAAGACCTGGACGCGGGACCGATTTTTTTTCGTTTTGAGGTCCCTAGAGGCCAAAAACACCATCCGTTCAAATTCATATATATATATATATATATATATATATATATATATATATATATATATATATATATATATATATTTATATATATATATATATATATGTGTCCGTTAGCACGATAACTCGAGCAAAAATGATCCGATTTTGATGAAATTTGGTACAAACGTGTAAACCTACGTTTATTCGAACGAGTTTGCGATCCAGCATGATCGGACCATGGGAACGGGGGTTTACGGGGGGTTTTATGGGATAAAAATAGGTTTTTCCCATTTTTGACCCAAAAAACATAAAATTTAGCAATTTCTTTCCAAACCATTTCGTAGAGCTTAAAAAAACAAATAATTTAGTATATTGAAGCATCATTATGCGCCTAATGGTTACGGAGAAAATTCAAAAAAATTGTAAATTTAAAATTCCCATGTTATTCTTTTGGAGAAGAAGTAAACTGTTGTAGTTTGCTTGTTTATGAACATATTTTGATCAAACTTGGAAAACGTTTTTATTTCTTACTAACTATTAACATTTTACAAAAAAAACTGTTTTACCCTCCCTGATGCAGCAAACCTAAGTACTTGTTAAACTAATTCTATTTAAATCGGGAATAAATGTTATATTTTTAAGTAGACATTTCAGTGTAAATCAAATCAGTCAAATTGAAATTCGCTTAGTCTGCAGGTTTGCTGCGGCGAGGGTATTTAGTATTAGTGTGTAAATATGTTAAACATTTTTACAGCCTTTTAATACATGACCAAAAACTTATTATCTGTTATCAGATGTTTTATCTTTACTTCTTCCAAAATGTAAACATGGAAAATTTGGAAGCCCCAAGGGAAATATAAAAATACAATGATATAGTATTTCATTGTCATCCATTTGTGAGCTATGTTTCAAGTTTCAAGTCTCTAGCTCATCAGAAAGTTAGTTTAAATCGATATCAAAATGTGTACCGGGTAAGAAAGCGAGCTTATAAAAAAAGCCCATGGGGCGTAGCCCAAGGGAAATATGAAAATTAAATGGTATAATTAAATGGCATTGTCATCCATTTGTGTGAGCTATGTTTCAAGTTTCAAGTCTCTAGCTCATCGGGAACTTAGTATAAAATTGATTGCAAAATTTGTACAAGACAAGATAGCGAGCTAATTGCTAATAAAAACGTTTTTTAAATGTGACAAACGATGTCAGCTTACCTTTACTCAGTAGATTTCAGTGTCGACGATGGAATGAAGGCTGCTCGAATAAACGTTAGCAAACTTATGGTAGCAATCAAACTATCACATTTGTGTGATGGATGGTATAATTAAACTCTTGCGCATGTAGCTCTACCGAGTCATATAATTATTCTGTTTTCGTAAGTTCAGAATTTTTATCGATAAAATGTTGATACCAACTACTAATTTTAACTTTTATTCGTTATGAAAATGATAATAAATTAGCTTTCCTGGTACAAAGAAAAAATGGTAATAGGGGATATTGAAATATATTTTTAAGTAGGGTACATGGAAACTAAAAAATTAAAAATGCCGCCATTTTGTACTTAGTAGTGGTAGAGACCTCTGGTTTTCGGTTTCCCTTTAAAATGAGGCAACTGTCACTTCATGAGGATTAGTATTTGAAAATGTTGAGCTGGTCTATGGGAAAATGTGTCATACCGACCGAAAAGTGATTTTTAGTTTCTTGTTACGGTAATACTGATTTTAGTTTTCCTGCAATACTAAAAAAAGAGTAGGTACTTTTATGCCATATAGAAGTTTGCACATCAAAATAAAAAAGTAGATCGGTTTCGGGTCTAGGACCTAGGTACTGTGCCGCCTACTGTAGTTGTGACTTCCTTAATGGAAATTCCTTCCTTAATGGAATTACGGCTGCGAAGCCCCGTGGATGGAAGATTGAATTAAAATTTAACCCGTGGGTTAGGTTAGGATAGGTCAGGTTAGGTTAGGTTAGGTTAGGTTAGGTTAAGTTAGGTTAGGTTAGCTTAGGTTTGGACGGAAAGTCTTAACGCAGGAAGTAACCGAGTATTATAGGGGTCACTCTGAAATTCGGAGGTAGCGGCACACGGAGGGTAGTCTTTAGAAGCTTCTAATAATATCAACTTCAAGTCCATCCTCACAACTCAAAACATCTCATTACCAATATTAACCTTTGTAAGTAGATTCCAGTGCAAAATCAGCTAACGCACAAAAAGGTTGTTCAGCAAAGCCTAACCAAAAGCCTTGTATTTAGACTTTCAAACTACACATAAATAATCCAGCTTTTCTCGCTCCTGATAGGGTGGTTTCCTGATTAGGAGGTGGCTTGTTCAACCTTGTCACGCACTATGCTGCTATGGGAAACCAGTTGTCGAGCGGTCTAACACAAGGAGGTTGGATATTACCGTTGCTCTTTATCTCACCTCTTAGGGTTAGGTTATGTAATATATTTAAATATTCGATGTATATATAGGGAGTGGGTTGGTCTAGTATCATGTGTGACCTATATCCTAGAGGTCCTGGGTTCAAATACCGCCAATCACAAATAAGTTTTAAATTTAAGTAGGTACGCATTATTATGCCAAAATACAGTTTAAAATACAGTTATTTTCTTAAATTATTGCAATTTAGTATAACCAAGGGGCACGTTGTTCATTTGAGTAGCAATTAGTATTGTACAATGATGTGCTATGCGTGTATCTTGATTCACAAAGCTAAACATTAAAAAATTTAGCAATGTTTCGTAAAAGGAGCATACACAATTTTGTCTTGAGTCAATTCTATCATTGGAAGGTCAAATCTTGTAATATTAGAACCAGTTGTTTAATTGACAAACAAACACCCTTTTAAACTACACTCGGTATCTTGATGCTATACTTAAAATGGACTTTACCTCAATGAAAAGCTATATAACTGAAATACCCCACTGTCAAATCACATGGGACCCACAAAAAGTGCAACTGAAAAACATAGAGTAGTTTACATTGGTCCGTGAGAGAGTTTACAATTTGACCCAAAATCTGTTTGACACTCAAAACTGTAAGTTCTCGTAACAGGCTGTTTGTAAATATTAGCTTTCTGGTGAATGTTGAGTTTATAGAACAATTTATTAGGGTTGCTCCATAAATTATGTAGACCTCCGGTTATTGCACTATTGGTGTGAAACCATATACGAACAATTAAGGAAGGCATGAGAGTAATAGTGTTTATACTGCATTGTCGAACCGTTTTCGGGAAATGATCGATCGTGCGTCGAACATATATAAGTTATTAAAAAAACACGAAATTGCGGAAATCTGGATTTCCTCCTAATTATAATCCATCGAACAATTTCCCAGAATTAAGCTCCTCACCTACGGGACGCCCTGCATATTAAAACGTGACGACTAGGGCCGGTACACACACACCGACTTGGACGCATGTGAGTACGACTGTTCGTGTCGTGCTGGCATACGACAAAGTCGTGTTACCTCACGACATTTGTCGTATCGGTATACGACTCAGCAAACACAACATCGAACTCTACTGGCTTTAGGACTACTCACTTGTGAGGATGTCGCCGGAAGAAGAGGAACCATGTATAAACAGAATGAATGTGTATGGAAAGTTTAGTCGTTGCTATGTAAAAAAACCTGTTTTGAAACACTTTGCAAAAATAAACAAGAATTTATGTAATGCCATTTATGTACATTTCATAATACATCCTTAATTCGTCTAATTATATGTGTTATCAGTTAAGGTAATGTTAATTTTGGTTAACTTTTGTTGCCCTTTACAAAAAGTTACCATTACAATAAGTTATTTTTGTAAATGTAAATACAGTAGACTCTCTCTAGTTCGGCCACCTCAGGACCGGACCACCGGCCGGACTATCCGTCTGTACTGCCAAAATTTAAAATACCCCATTTAATGCATCACCTATGGTTAAAAAGTCGTGTCCCGAGACGCACTAGTGTGTATACACCGACGCGATAGCCATATAACGCCATGTCCCGCTACGAATCAAAACAGTCGTGAGCCCATACGACACGACTTGCCTGTCGGACCCCCAGTCGGTGTAGGGCGCGACTCGAAATTTGTCGTCCACGACTTTGACACCTCCACGACTGCTGTCGCACTAGTGTGTACACCCCCATGCGACTTCCATTGCCTACTTTGTTTCTCTACTTGTCGTGCAGATATACGATTTCTTGAGTCGTACAGGGGCACGACAAAAGTCGGTGTGTGTGTACCGGCCCTAAGGTTCGATAGTCTGTACTGACGGTGAAAACCTTCCAACCCATTACTTCTTCTTTCTTTTAATTTTTCTCAACGTAAAATTGAATCTTTTATCAGAACTTAAAATTCCCCCCAAAACTAAGGTAAATCAATTTTTAAAGAGGCTAAAATAATGCATTACTGTTTTAATTTTATATTAATCTAATTAGTTGAAACACTTACAATAAAGTACAGTTTGTTAGTTTTTTTTACTTGATAGCTTGAAAATTATTCATTTACCAAACCAGGCCAAGAACAAAGTGTTCTAAAATACGTTTCTTACACTACTGAATACTCCAGTTTAGAGAAAATATAATAGGTCTTGGAGACAAAATCAAATGTTTTAAATAGCCAATTTTTCCAAATCAATGGTTTACACAAACAAAATTTAAGAAACATTTTTGATCCGACATTTTCAGTTTTTATTAAAGTCGCCAAATCAGCTGGCGCAATGACTACCTTATAAGGTTTGTATTCATTGGCTGACGTCACGCACAGACACATTCTTACCTCAAAAGACAACATTTTCCCTCAGAAACAAGCAACCATAAAAAATTGAAACTGAGTTCATCGAATCTAATTACCGGCCCATTTCGCTACCATTCCCGGTGCCAAAAACGTATAAAAAGCTCGCCGCCAGTCAAAACAATAGCCTCTGTTGACCACCAGAGGGCACGCGCTGCAGCTGCATTCTGCATACTAATGCAACGTTGCATATTTATGCAAGCGCTTGCCCTTGAGAGATCACAGACCTTGTTCTGTGGCGATATGGTGATGGTGAGTACAATCACAAGGTGCAAATTTACAGATTTTGTATAAATTCTACAAGGATTTTATACCTTCACTCTTGAGTTGTGATATAAATTGTGCTTAGAAACACATATTTTTGTCTGCGGATTACTTTAAAACAACATTTAAATAAAAATTGGAAAACAAATTTTAACTTTTCTTGTGACTTTTTTGCAAAACTTATAAAATCATATAGGTACTTCAACTTTCAACTTAATTTACGTATTCATTCTTCAATCGCTGGGTTAAACTTTAGAGCATGACAATGATCTATATATTAAGATGTTTATTTTGCTTTACAGTTTAATCCTGGAATTATTGTACTCAAAGGTTGAGTCTAGCGATGATTGAAGTGCACAGTCAAAACCGATTGTCTCTTATCCAAATGATATATAAACATATCCAATATGGAAATATAAACTTACTATTCTTTGATCCATGTTTAAGTCTTGTGAACTCCGTAATTGTTAATGCAACTTTAACCGAGAGTATCATATTTGATTTACAATCAAAATTAAAATCATTACGGTGTTCACAATAGATCATTTTCGTGATATTTATAACTCTAAGATGAAACCGTTGCTGTAAAAAATCTCTATTACTCAAAATGTAAGGGTGTATTGCATAGGAATAGTAAACTGAAAGAGATCACCTGTTACAATATTTGTTTCACATTATCCATCTCATAAATGAATACTGTATAGAATTGGATGATATATACTACAGCTCGTCCCGTGGTCGAAAACTCGACCAAAAGTATGTATTGTGCAAACTTCTCTATTTTCACTCCACGCTGTAATTAAAACATGTGATTGGAATTTCTTTCATTTGTTATGATTTTCTGTTTATATTTTGTTGTTATTTCGTCACCAACATGGCAACATATGGCCTATGTTGTCATAAGTTTTGCAAACGATTTTTTAATGTATAAGATTTTAAGTGTTATTTAATTTTTTCTAATAACTTCTGTATTTTTAAAGACACTATCACCATATCAAAGACTTAGTTAAACATCTACAGTAGTCTAAACTAATTAAAGATGGATGGTTGGTTTTAAGCTAAATCCAAACCATTTAACATGAGCATATTTCGCACTTCAAACATATGGTGTAAAATAGTTAATGACTCACTTTCTACTCTTGTTATATACAGAGTGCCCCACGAAGAGGTTTAAACGTTGGGTTTTATATTACCTGTCTATTTATGCACTGAAAATTTTGAAACGCTACACAATTTTTAAAGTAGGATTTAAA